TGCCACGAAGAATTGAGGCAGTTCTGAAGGCAAAAGGGGGTCCAACCCGTTACTAGCATGGGGTACCTAATAAAGTGGCCGGTGAGTGTATATACAGCTGGAGCTACAGCAAAATGGTTGTGATCGAAACAGGTTTTAAAACTGGAAATATAGTTCGCCGATTGCTTCCTTTTGTATCAAACTGACCTAGAGTCATTGTACAAAGGTGACAGAAATGTCAGTCTGAATGCACATTATATCTCAAATATCCTTTCATCACAATATTACTGTTTGCTATATTGATTTGCAAGCAGCAGTTTGGAAAGCCATATATGTTTCTATTTTCTAAGTACTACAAATTAAGGCCGTGCATGCCAGTCATGTACTCAAATTTTTGAATGGAGTTCAACAATTTGATGCCTGTTAGTAGGCATCCACAGATTTTCTGCATAATGGTGAAGATCATAGATAAAGCTTTATTAAAAAATGACATTTTTTGTTCTTAGTGTAACATGATTAGGGCTGGGTAAAAAAAAATCTATTTAATCGATTTTGAATCGATTCCTTGACATTTTTGCAAAATCGATGTCTAGGGAAGGAGACCGATTCATCTTATAGTGACCCGCGTGACGTTCACATTCAAATAAGCAGGAAAGATGCACTCAAGATTACTTTAAGCCAGACAGCTGCAAATATAGCCAATAGGTTGACTGAAGACATTAACAGCCGCTTCCCTATGACTTTAAGTTAGTGTAGGTTAGGGGTGAGTAACTGCATTGGGTGTTTCAATACGATGTGTCGCAGTACTTGGATCACGATACAATATTATCATGACATTGCAATATCCTAATATATTGCAGTTTTTTTTTCCTATCAACATTAAATGTATACATAAAAAAAGCCAGTGCTGTGTATGTTCATTTGAACATATTGATGATTTAGTTATTTTGGTATCCATGTTGTTTTGGGTCTGAGTCAGTCCACGTCTTCCACCGTGAGTGCCTCCACTACAGATATGGTGCAGCTTCAAAAAGCAATAGGGCTCCACAGTGTCATCTGAAAGAGTGGCGGTGCAGAGGTAGCCCACTTCCCCTCAGATTTAGGTAAAAATATTTAGTTTTTTTTTTTTTTTTTTTTTTTAATTGATATCAGGAACTGAAAGATCGATATTATATCAGCCAGCCGCAAATCATCATCAAGTCTTTCCCCACACCCCTAGTGCAGGGGGAACCTTAGTTGCAGCTAGCCTACCACTGTGCCGTGCAGCACAGGTCGGTTTGTCTGAGGGATTAGCTTGCCATCAATATCAGATTATTCCAAAAATTTAAGGAGAACAACAAACCTGATCGATCTCATGAGAAAAACGCAGCAGCATAAAATATTAGACTTTCTTTTTTCTTTACATTTTGGGAGAATTAATGCATTTATTAAAGCCATGTTTAAATGTGGGTTACATTAGTGTGCTTTGGGGTCTTGATCTTTAAACCACTATATCAGGCCGTATTATTTTTCTGTCTTTTTAGGATGGCTGTCTGTGGCCTGCAGACGGTGGCTCTCGACACGGTGCCTCAGAGGTAAGACCACCAATGTAGTTGATAGACTTAGATTCACAAGCCAGGAGCATGTGTGGGAGTACCTCAGACTAAATACTTAGATTAAAAGATAAAATGGGTATTTTACAGAAAATTTAGCGCGAAAAAAGACTCTTGATTTGTTTTTATTCAATTTAAATTAGTTTTTGGATAAAACATCAATGTACAGGCTGCTATCTCACTTTAAAGAACACAGCACAGTTAAATCATTGACTTTGCAGGATTCGCTCCTCCTGAATGAGCCTGTGGAAACAGTAGATATTACATTGCATCGTTTCGTTGAATCTACAACTGTCCCTCGCAGGAGATGGCATATAGTGACAACGAGAAGGGAAAACTCCCTTTTACCAGAAAGAAACCTTCAGCAGAGACGGGCTCAGTGTGACCTGCCATCTGCTGATGACCACTGGGGGTCAAGGATATAGAAGCAAACACACAGAAGAGGAATAGAAGCACTGATCTATTAAATCTTATATGTTAGAAAAGATAACAGTAAACTAGCTCCTTAGGTGGCTCTTTGTGGGAAAGAAAGCAGAGTAGAAAGAGAGTAAAAGATGAATCCATAGTTTAAACGTTTAAGTTTTCTGTCACAGCGCCTACAATGCAGAAGACTCCACAGGATCATTTAGTTCATGGCTCATCTATGTGGGACTCATCTATGAAATTACATTTTAATGCGTTTAATGCTTTCATTCCAAAGGTATCTAGACTCACTCCAACTTGTCATGGAGTAATACACACAAGAGGAGGCCTTTTATACCCCTTAGTGGCCAAGTCACTGATGTTAGTTTTACTGGGTGACGTCACAATAACGGTAGAGCAACACCAATCAGGTGCCATACATTCAACTAAGAAAAGCACCAAACAGATGGTTTTTGGCCAGAAGAGCAGGACTGAAACAACTATGCTGTAAATTGTAAAGATATTGCCCGGCATGTCAACAGTGTTGTACACCCATGTTTAGTTAATTGGGGGGGAAAGGTCACTTTTGGGGTCAGTCATGCTTTAAAAGTAAATAACAACGTTGTTAGATTCCTGCGTTCTGTAGGAATGTAACAAGCACCAAGCATGCTTGTAATGACAGTGGAGAGGAAAAACTCCCTTTTAACAGGAAGAAACCAGCAAAACCAGGCTCAGCTCCCATAGATATTGCACCAAAAACCAGACATTTGTAGCTAGAATAGTCATTTACCACATTAGCAATGTAAAGAGTGTATTTCTTTAAAGTTAAGACTAGTTTAAAGTTACCTTCATTGAAAAGTACAGTGCTTCTCCTTAAAAAATACAGAAATTTCAATGTGACCCCAAACTTTTGAACGGTAGCAAAGAATTTCCTGCATCCTTTTTTCAAACCTTTCTTTCCAGAATCTGACTGTTTTGGTCTTATAGAGAGTGATTGATTATTCGAGTTTTTGGAGGCAGTCTGATCTTCTCCTAGATGTTGGTCTGGTCCCTTCAGGGCTTTGTGTCGTTGAGGACCACTGTGAATCTACCTTTGTCTGCTGGTGAAATGGTGATGTCATGTTTTTTGTTGATAAGTAACAGTGATACGACTGTATTTCTCAGTGTATAGAGTATATTTGGTGACATGGTTGAAAAGCATCTAGGAGAGTTTAAAAGAAATGTAATGTGATGCATTATGTCATCATATTGGCGAGTTAAAATAAACAGAATGTGTAATGCGTTGGACCACATTTTTTAGTTCCAATGTCCAGAAAAAAACTTTAGAAGTAAAAAAACAACAAAAGAGAATAGGAGGTGACAGAAAGTGTGGATGGAAGCAGTAGACACGAGGGTTACGGTAGGCGATAAGTGTGACTGTAGGTAAAAACAGTGTCAGTGCTGAAGCAGCTGGAGAGAAAGGCACAAAGAGGAAAAGGCCACGCAGAGACAAACACAGAGGGAGACGCAGGCAGTGAGTGTGGGTGGCTGATAGATGCTGGGATGCTGTCTGATTCACTGTGTGTGTGGGGGGGGTGAGTGGCAGAATGGGATGGGGGGGATTCTGGTGCATCATTAATCAGCAACACCTCCCCTGACACTGTCTAGACAGCCGTCTGAGAGCTGCCCTGCTCTGCTGCGCTCTGCTCCCTCTATCAGCTATAAACCTTTCTCCCCCTCTATCTTTCTATCTGCACTTTCTTTCTCTTTTTCATCTCACTCTTCTCTTTCCCTCCAATGCTCTTTTTTCATCTCTACATCCTTATCTCAGTAGCCTCTTTTTGCTGTTTAATCCTTTAGGTTTGACTCTTTCTGTGCCTATGTCAGTTTCACCATTTTAATTGCCCAGATCATCTCCTCTCTCTCTCCCGGGTTCCTTTTCAAGCTTATTGTTATCTTCACCCAGACCCCTTTGATGATTAGACACAGAAAAAGGTTAGAACTGGATAGAAAAGATAAGAATGACAGCAGTGATCATTGTGTTCCAGTTTGAGGAGCTATATGAGTTGAAAAACCAAAACCCCAAACAAAAGGTGGCAGATTTTAGTAGGTAGTCTAATTTTAGTAGGGGATTTCCTTATTTTCTGTAATTAACCCTTCTGCAATCTCAATTGTTAGCTCACTGGTCTTTTTAGAAGTACAGGCTGATGATCAGCTATTTTTGCATCAAAGTTGATGCTTTAACTGCTAAGATTCTGCCTCAAAAAGCTTTACAAAACTTTGCTGAACTTCATGATAGTACCATACTCTTGGGTTGTTTTTTCCAGTAGGGGTATGAATTCGCAAAAAAAAAAAAAAAAATTGGGAATGCAGTATGTATCTTCATACATCTATTATGATACTATTTATTCTTATATATCCAATACATTAACCAAGACCAAGATATTGTGATCTTTGTAATAATAATATACAGTAGATCTTGTAGCTGGTGCATAGCAGTTGAATACTAGACTCTTGCAGTGCCAACTACTGGCTGGTGTCAATGACATGGATGTTTTCCTTGGAAATATATTTTTTTTATGTCAAAAATCTATTCAGCCATATTTTAAATCAATGAGAATCTTCTGAAATATTCCAATATTTGACAGAATTATTTTTTCCTTTTACACCCCGAATAAACACTAGTATATTATTGGTAATATTGTTGGAGCATTACACTGCAAAAAAATTTAATCTTAAGCATTTTTCCTTCAGTTGGGCAGGTAAGTGAGACACTTTGCCAATACAAGAAGACAATTTACATTTAAAATAAGAAATAACTACTGCAGCCTCTTATTTTAAGTGCCTAATATCTGATTATCTTTAAGCCTAAACATACCTATTCCATTGGCAGGTATTATTATTTACCCACTCAAATTAAAGTCAAAGATTTTGAACTCATTTTAAGATTGTTTGTGAAGTTTGAATGTTGAATGTTATGTTTTTTTTCTTTCCCCTACCTGTCCACCTATATTATTCAGTTCAGCTTTTTTATATAGATTTAGAACACATGTAATTTCAAAGCACTTTACAGAGACAATTCAATGAGATCATTCAGTTAGGTTGGTTAAAAGTTGTATCTTAAGCCTCTTTAACACGTTGAGGATTTAGCCAGCATATACCTGACGTACGAAACATCTGGCTAAAACGTTGGCATGTTATATAGGTCAGTTTTGTGTAAGTTGTGAGCACGCTGGCACACATCGACATACGGCAAGTACGACCTATGCCAGCGTATGCTCATACGTGGGCTATAAGACTTAGACTTAGACTTGACTTTATTAATCCCTTGGGATTACTCCCTTCGGGAAATTCTATTTCCAGTAGCAGGAAAAATTGCACATATAAGATACATATAAGTTACAGGTGTTCTGGTTACAGCCTCAACCAACAAACTTCCTACCAGAAAGTTTTTTTTTTTTTTTTTTTGCCAGGTGGTAAACACCATCCAGGTTAATGTTGTGATCAAAGAAATCTTTCTATGGACGCCGGGGGCCTCCAGGCGCATTGCTGCCCCCCTCAGGACACTGGCTTGGGACATTTCATGGGCATTAAGCTGCAGTGCCCTATGCAGAACTTAGGCAGTCGTTGGACATAAGTTCTGGGCTTGTTATCAGTTCTCTATGCATACGCCTGAAATTGAAAAAATGCATAGAAAGTTCAGCGTAGGCCAGCGTTTCAGACGATTCTAGGATGTCAGGCATACGCTGGCTATATTGTGAAGGTGTGACAGGGGCAAAAGGAAAACCAGCTGATTGCATACTTTTAAATCTTTGTCGAAGCATTTTGAGCCCCGCGTTCAAGCAGGATATGCACTCATGCCAGACATGGGCAATGTGGAGTCAACAAGTCATCTCCATGTCATGTATTTAATCTACCCAGCCAATTAACCAGGTAAGTCCAATCTGCACAGGTTAATTCACGGTGAAGATTGGACTCACCTGCTTCAGTGGCTGGGTAGAACAAATACATGACATGGAGATGACTTGTTGACTCCACATTGCCCATGTCTGACTCATGCTAACATCAGCCATCATGCCTGCAAGTCATTTGGTCTTTATCCATTAATTAAAGTCTTTTAAATATGTTTTGAAGTGGAAAAGCACAAATTATGATTGTTCTTTTAAAGATTCTATTAGACTGGTGGAGACCACTCTGGCTGCTAGGCTAGTTAAACTAACCAGGTAATAGTTGCTTTGGGAACCCTAAAGGAGAGCCTTCAAACCAAACCGCTGCCTGTTTACAGCTTAGTCATTGGAATGAATGTCATGAGGTATGCAGGGGGGAAAAATGTGGGCTTCCAGAGTGTTGGGGAAGCACGCTGATTAATTACCAAGTGTTCCCATTACCTGAGTAATACAAATCTTTGGACTGTTTGTTGGGCTTTTAGTGGAAAGGGGGCTATTTAAAGACAGCTTATGTCACTCTGACATGATCTCAGAGTGAATGCCAACTGTGTTGTCTAGTTATCTGTTTTTGGCGTAATCCATCAATCTGGTGATAGAGGCTTTGTGGTGTTAGCAGCACTTTTCAGCAGGTTGTTCTGGTTGCTCTCAAAGGAATGATAAATCTCCACTCCATGAAGGGGCTTAAATTACAAAAAACTTACCAATCTACAGTTCTTATTCCTTGTGCATCTTCTTCTATCATGTTCAGTATTTTATCATTGCAAACTCACCTTTCCAGCACAGCAGAGGGTATGAAGCTGCTTTGCGTATAAGTAATGGAGTGGCTGCTATTTATGGTATTAACTTAAGGGGTTTTACCCACATAAATTCCACATTCCTGTTGCCATTCATTCAGTTCTATTCAATGCAGTTGTATCTATATCGTGCCAATTCACAACACATCAGGCACTTTACAGAGACGATTTAACCAGATCATACAGTTTTCTATGTAAGTAAAACCAACCGATTGCATCGACTCATTGACTGAAAAGTAATTTCTCACACCAAGCATGCTTGTAGTGACTGTGGAGATGAAAACTCCCTTTTAACAAGAAGAAACCTCCAGCAGAACCAGGCCATCTGCAGAGACTGACTGGGGTTCAAGGAGACAGAAGGAGACATACAGAAAGAAGCAGAGATACAAAAGGCAACTGTCAACCAGCTCCACAGCCGGCCCCGTACAGGAAAAACAGAGCCAGGCAGACATGCTCCCATGTCAGAGGATGAAAGAGAGCACATAGTTAGTCACAGTCAGGGAAACATGACTGCACTGAAAAACAGGCCAAGCTCCAACAACTGAAAACAAAGGTGTTGATGGCAGCAGCACAGCTGATATTTCTCCCCAGGATGGCGTCACAGCCAAAAAGGAACAGACTAGATGAAGCTACTATGAGAAAAAGCAGAGAGAGCATAGTGTTAGAGATTGAACTAACAAATACTGCAGAATGGGAGAATAGAGAGAAAATGAAATGGAATGATGAAGAGTGGTCCCCATGTCCTCCAGCAGTCTAAACCTGTAGCAGCATAACTATTGAGTAGAGATTGGTCTGGATAACCTGAGCCACTCTAACTTTAAACTTTATCAAAAAGTAAAGTTTTAAATCTTGCCTTAAAAGTAGACAGGGTGTCTGTCTTATGGGCTAAAACTGGTAGTTGGTTCCACAGGAGATGTAAATAATCCTGGGCTTTGGCCCAGTTCATGTTTAGCATGCCTCCCTCTATTTTGGCATTACTTTTCTTGCAAGTAACAGTGATACTTTAAGTATGAATGTACTGTGGTGCCCTCAAATGGATGGTAGTAATATTACAACACCAAATCACAATGCTTTTAAGCAGACGTTATTAGTAAATCGAATGGAACCAGTCTATGACTAGTAAAACATTAACCATTAATTAGTTGAAAGTTGACAGAGTGCCATTACACTCTGGTAGCAGTGAATGCAGTAAATAGTAGCCTTACTAATTCAATTCAATTCAGTTTATTTATATAGCGCCAAATTCACAACACATGTCATCTCAAGGCACTTTACAGTTCAACCAGATCATACAGTCAAATTGATACAAAGTTTTCTATCTAAGGAAAACCAGTTGATTGCATTGACTCATTGACTCAAATACAATCCCTCACACTAAGCATGCTTGTAGCGACAGTGGAGAGGAAAAATCCAATCTGATGCCTCTTCTTTTTATGAAGACTTTCACTGTAGTTTTTCACTATTGAATTTTGGAAATAAAAGCCTGGGTGAGGCTCAACTAACAGGTAATGATATTGATAATGAATAATTTCCCCTATAAAATCAAAGAGAAATTAGACATAGTAACAGTTTATTCCACAGAGAAATACTCTTGTATGAATTGCTAAAAAGGTTAATTTAGATTGGATAATTGTGGAGCTATTTGATTCTGTTGTCTATTTCCAGTCAGAAACAGCTTCTCAAACCCTATGGGCTTGACATGTTCAAATTGAAATTAGTCACATCTAAAGTATTTTACCATGACTTAAAATTAACAACAGAGGAAATCTGCCAGGAGAGTTTTTTTAGTATCTCCTGAGGCTCCACCCACCCCTAGCTTAGTATTACATGCTTTACTTTTTATGATGATCATCATCTTTTTTGTGACGAAGGGATAATGGGCAAAAATCTAAGAACTGTTTATTTTTAATAATTCAAGTTGGTAAATACTTTGATAAATCAAACCTGATTTCAATTTATTCATTGAGGCCCAATGAATTAACATTGGGCGTCAATGAGGTCAATTCTTCATTTTATCTTTGAGGTCAAACAAATTGTCAGATCTTTTTTTTTCTTTTGAAACCTTAAAATTCAGCTTTATTTCTTGCCTTCTGTGTTTTTAACTCCTTCCTTTATCTAACATTTTGTTTTTTTTTTCCGTCTCTCTAATGCAGGTGTTATATGCCCCCCAGGCCAGGGATCGCTTCACTGCTCCTTCCTTCATGCAACGGGACCGCTTCAGCCGCTTCCAGCCCACTTACCCCTACATGCAGCATGAGATCGACCTGCCGCCTACCATATCATTGTCAGATGGAGAGGAACCCCCGCCGTACCAGGGCCCCTGCACACTGCAGCTCCGCGATCCTGAACAGCAGATGGAACTCAACAGGGAGTCAGTGAGGGCGCCGCCCAACCGGACCATCTATGATAGTGACTTGATCGACATAGGGAACGGGGGCGGTCTGGGGGGGACTGGTGGAGGTTTAGGAGGAGGTGGCCCAAGGCCTCCCAGCAGTAACTCTGGCATCAGTGTGACCAACTCCTGCAGTCATGGGGGCATGGAGGGGCCTCCACCCGCATACACCGAGGTGATGGGCCATTTTCCGGGCTCGGCATTCTTTCTACACCAGCACAGCAATAACCAGAGATTAGGGAGACCAGAGGGACTTGGGAGCAGGACGATCCAGCGGCAGAGTCAATCAGAAAGCACAATAGTACCTGCCAAGGCAAAGGATGGCAAACCAGAGGACCTGGTTTGAGCAAAGGGGAGGACAGTTAGGGCCAACCCCTCCGTACTTAACACTGTTCCCCATGTTTACCCCTGATGCCTAAGCTTTGGTCCAGCATCGCTCCGTCGTGCTCATGTCCTCTCTCCACACTTCCGCGCACAAACACATCTTGACCTGAGCTACAACTAAACTAGTATGGAGAAACCACGAGCGAATTTCATTTGACTTTTTATCCAGCTAGCACCATTTGGGAATAGTATTTTACCCTTCTCATGGAGAGGGAAAAAACTGGCATGCACAGACTGTTTTGTTTTCTGTGTGTGGACAATGGAAGGTTGTTTTGTTGGTCTTTTGTTTAGTTTTTTTGGACCGGGATCTGTGCACAACGTGAGAAACTGAGAACCCAGTTCAGAGAGATAACAGAACAAGACTCACCAATCCAAATCTTAGTGCCAAGGCTCACAAAGAAGCAAGGAGGGCAAATGACATCTTCTATTAATATAAACAAAAGAAAAGTTCCCTAAAAGTTGCACTATCTTTTTTTTTTTTTTTAAAGAGGAGAGGGACTTGATGTCATGTGAAGCTGATGTTTAGTTTTTTAAGGTTTTTTTTTTCTTTGACAACTGACTGAAATCTGGCTCCAAAGTTGAACAGCTGGTAGCAACAAACTGAAAAACAAAACCAGAAAAAAAAAAAAAAATGAAACAAACACAAGTATAAGCTTATTTCCTTCCTTTTCTAAAAAGAAAACCTTGAGCTAAGCCTGAACCATCTCTTTGCTTACACCACAGGCACAATTAAACTTAGTAAGAGAATAACTTTGTACTGCGATAGGTCTGCTTCCTTGTGGAGAGAAATCTGCCTTGTGACCAAGCATTCGTGTTTTTTAAAATCCAACAAAAAATGTTTTTTCTCTTTTTTTTTTTTAAACCCTGTTTTAAAAGTTTAGAGCTGTGTTTAGACACCATAAGCTTCAGTACCCGTCATATTTTTGGCTGCTTGGTTGGTGGAGATTTTTCTTCCCAAATCTGTCCCATCTGAGCATCTGAACTTGCACACAGAGCATTCTACCGCGCGGAACACAGAACCCTGCCGCTCACGTTGACGGCAACAGATAGCAGACTCAACTCTCCGCCTCACGTCAGCGATGCCACGCGTGCACACACAAAAATTGCAAAGATTGCATAAATAAGGATTGCGCAAATACTGACTGAGTTGAAGTCAAAGGGCTACCAGAGGGTCCTTTTTGATAAAGAAACTAGAAAAATCTAGCCTTTTTTTCACCTCATTGTTGCCTTTAATCCTTGCTGTTGCGCTTGCTCTATCTTACAACTGCACATTTCAGTGCACCTTCTCCCCCCGCAAAGATAAACTGCTCATCGTCCACCTCCCCATTTATGTGCAAAAATGATGCAGAGTCAGCCAAGCCCTTTAAAGCTGAGTGCGGAGTGGAGTTGTTGTTTTGCAGCATGTGGATGCAGGCTTCTCCTCACAGTGTGATTGTGTTGGCATGTTTGTTGTTCTGACCCTTAGTGACACTGAAAAGAACTTAAGGCTTCTCCATTGCTATTTAGTGATTTATTAGCTGACGGCTTTCAGCTTTTAACATTTAAGGACATGACTTTTTATTTGTTGAAATTTAGCAAAGCGTCTCTCTAAGAACCCGAAAATGAACAAGGGTCATAAGCCAAAGAGTGCACGCAACAGATACACCACTTAGATGCACAAGTTTAACTTCAGTTTTTAATTCATTTTCCATTGATGGATCAACAAATCTCATTTCTGACCTTCCCTACCCACTAAGACCTGCAAGGCCTGGAAATGATTAATACCACTGGAAAATATAAAATTTCTTTCATTTAACCAAGAATTTTATTTCAGAATAAAAATTAGGATGTTAATCTTCAACTTTACAATTTGACTGCATGTCAGACGGATGCAATCATCAACTCCTTTAAGTAATATAGCATTAATAAACCTGCTGGTGACAACACCCCATGGTTACAGTATTTGATCAACTTCACTTTTCCTGATGAGATGTTTTCTTACACGTCACGTGACGTCCACACAGCCATGTTATGTCACTTGATCAACCACGCCCCTCCACATAGCCAGAATTTCCAAAACAGAGGCATCTAGGAATATTTGTAACTACTTGGACAGCACTCTGTCAAAAAAAAAAAAAAAGACAGACCAGCAACAGCTCCTGCTGGTGATATTTCCTATGATTCTGCCTTAAAAATGCCCACAATCAACAGATTATGAACAATTCTTGGAAAGAATAAAGTGATCCTTCCTCTTTAATGACACTATCAGCTCCAACTCTGCATTATAGGATTACCGATACTCATCATAGCATGTTGGTTTTTATGCAGCCTTTGAAAAGTGTGACATCATCACACCAAAACTGTGTTCACCATCAAATTGAGTTCTATTATGTGTTCCCTAAAATTTCAAAATGAATTGCTATATAAACTATAGAGATTTAACATGAATTAGTCGATTCAATCGTCCATCTCCAAGCATCAAATAATTTTATCTCAAACCCTCCAGAGAGGTAATAAGATAATTTGCAGTAGGCTTTATTTGTTGTTTGTTTTCATCAACATGAACAAAAATGGCAAATTTAAAGTCACCAACATCCTTCCTTAAGATAAGTGAAAAAAAAATTGTTAACTGGTTTTAGAGCAAACAAAGCTTGTAATAATGAAGGAGCCATACTGAGGCAGTGTAAACACTGATTTTAGTTTTTTTTGGTTGTGTGTAAATTGGGGGTAACATTGTTTTGGAAATTTGAGCGCCCCCAAGTGGTCAGTCATAAGCTGACTTGATCAGTTAGGCTGCTATAAGTTTGAGCTCCTCCCAACACCAAGAACACAGAGAGGATTGCCTCTCCATCATTACAGATCGACATGGAAGAACAAGTTCATTCATTCGGCCATTTTAGCACATCCTTCTCTTAAGGTGTCACACGCCGCCACCAATGAACGCTGCCTCATCAAATTCTGTTGTTTTCGCTATTTTTTTACAGCAGAGAAGCGATAAGGAGCAACATTGTCCTTATAGAGGTTTGACTAAAGGGAATCTACTTCCTCAAATGAAGTGCAAAGACAGAAACGCAGCAGTCTGAAGGGTTTTTAGAAGATCTGGACTCTTGGTAGTAATCTTTGCTGAAGTTATGCATAAACAGGTACATAGCAACAAAATGAAAGCCACAGCTGGTATGTAGACATCTGCAGCTTTAGTAAAACAGGAAGAAAAAAACTGTGATAAAAAAGCCTTCTGTAGTTTCTATGTCTGAAGGTCTCTTCTATTTAACAAGAGGCTGTAAAATCTAACGGGGCTAAATTCGTTTTAGCACTTTTTCACCCTGATGTCTTGTCAGCTTACATTATCTGTTTATGTTGGGTGGAACTGTGCATTTACATCGGGTAAATGAACCTAATGATCATCTCTTTTATCCTGATGCAAAAAATGTTATTTAGGGACAGTAAAGATCCACTGGGAGTAAATCAGATACATCAAACAAAAAGGAAAAAAAACTGGCCTAGATCCACTGGTTCCTCAATATTTTACTTTTAAAGTTAATCCATTTATTTTGTATTTTTTATTTTTTTTAAATTCACGTTCGGCCGACGCCACAAAGACGGACGTTTTGCTCACTTTGAGCCAAAGCTTCTGAATCCTTTTTCCACATCAGTGTGCTTGAATGTATGATTGTGTCTTACTGGTCACGTGTTTCTACATCTCTGCTGCTATTGCTGTTGCTGCTGCTACCGCCACTGTCTTTGCTACTGCTGCTTCTCACATCCCTCCATCATCCATTCCACTGTACTCCATGCATCTTTCTGCAGCCAAAGCCACAGGCACTTGGACTCTTGGTACTTTTGAGCTTTTGGCTGCAAAGAGCTCCTTTACTCTCCTTTTTTTCCCCTTATTTTTTATAGTTTGGTTATACCACAATTTCATTAGCCTGTAAATGGAGGATAAATAAGATACGTTTTATGTTTTCTATGAGGAGGTTTGCATGTTACTAATATATGAGTAAATATGGTGCCTAATGTTCATGTTTGAGCAGATCACGCCTGTCACACTGCTTCTCGGAATCCTTGCAGGTGCCTTGTCTCAGCAGCAGCCAGAACACAACAAAAACCTTCCAGAATCCTTGATTACTGGATGGCCCAAAATGTTCCCAGCTTTGAGTCTGACATAATCTGATTCCAAATTCATCCTAACTCTTCATCAGAAAATACGTTTGGAGATCACATCTTGCAGCTCCTTAGTTAGAAGCACCTGGCTCCCCTCAGCTGGAAGCAGCCAGACATATTCCGAGCAGTAATGTAACGGGAGTGTGGAGCAGACATAGGAACCCACTTGCACTCAAAAAGCTCCCACCTTCGTTGTGCCTCACTTCCAAAGGTGCTTTTTTCAGTAGGTTGTCTTTCTTCGTTTGTTTGTAAGGTGCTGTATATAACTTGAATATATTATGCACATATCCTACCCAATGGGTAGACACCACAAAAAAGATGTTGTGAATAATGTAACATAGTGTATAGATGATATTAAAGTTTTAAGAGGGCAACATCAAATTTGTAAATGCCTACATTTAAAATCAAGCTTTGTCTTTTTTTGTTCTTTGAATAAGAAAATCTGTTTTTCAAAGTATGCTCAGAAGATGGTTGCAAACAAATTACTAGGTCTTTTTTATTTGAAATAAGTCTTTTTATCATATGGATGTGCTAAGCTGAGCTTGTTAAGGAGATTCCTCTGCAACAGCACCAGAAACTGGACACAATGTTTTATTATGGTTTCATCCCAACTGACCAACGTACGGGAGGACGTAGTAAATGGATCTGTTAGGAACATTTAACAAGGCAGACTAACCTTTTGATACATTTGGTTAAAGTGTGTAAAGACCTATGAAAATAAGGAAAGATAATGCATTCATATTTATTTGCAGTACAGAAAAATGTGAAAGAAAATTCAAACCTTGATTTAGTGCTGGAAAATATTACAGTTTAGATATAATTCATATTGGCACCTTGTGTCTTTCAAACACTCCCCTTCATACGGCACTCTGTGAAATACTTTGAAAATCAACATTTCAAGCCAACGGTGTTACTGGAATCCAGGACAAAATCCTAACCCTAACCTTTGTAACATTCAAAAAAATATGGATATTTTAATGGCAGAAATTAATGTTAATGTAAGAACAAGAAACGCCAACTTGCCCGAATATATTAAGAAAAATAACCAAAGTGCTTCTATTAGAAATTCATAAAAAATACTCACAGTAAAAGGAACAATTTTTTTTTTTTTTTTTTTGGTACAACATAACCTTAGAGGCATTAATGCTGATACTCGCACTTATATTTTCTTTATTTATAAATATGATTAACTAGGCTTATTAACTTTTTAACTTTTCAATGAGCTTTTTACTTTTTTTTTTCTTGACATTTTTTTTCTTCCACTTAATTTACAATACGTAATATATATTTCGAGGGCTCATCTAATTGGTCAAATGCCAAAATCAGATGTACAGCCAT